CAACCACAACAACCACAACAACCACAACAACTACAACAACAACGAATGACAACAATAACAACAACAACACACAACAACACACAACAACACACAACAAAACACAACAACACACAACAACAAACAACAACACACAACAACACACAACAACACACAACAACACACAACAACACACAATAACACACAACACACAACAACACACAACAACACACAACAACACACAACAACACACAACAACACACACAACAGCACACAACAACACACACACACCAACACACAACAACACACCACAACACACAACAACACACGCAACACACAACAACACAACAACACAACAACAACACACAACAACACACAACAACACACAACAACACACACACAACAACGCAAACAACACACAACAACACACCACAACACACCACAACACACACACAACAACACACAACAACACACAACAACACACAACAACACACAACAACACACCACAACACACCACAACACACAACAACACACAATAACACACAACAACACACAACACACAACACACAACAACAACAACAACAACAACAATAACAACAACATCAACAACAACAACAACAACACCATCAGCAGCAGCAGCAGCAACAACAACAGCAACAACAACAACAACAACACGAACACAAACAATACCAACACCAACAACACGACCAACAACACCAACACCACCAACACCACCAACAAACCCAACCACACCAACAACACAAACAACACTAACAACACCAGAAACACTACCACCACCAACAACACCAACAACACCAATACCAACAACACCAACAACACCAACACCAGCACCACCAACACCACCAACACCACAACCGCCACCAACCCCAACCACATCGCCGAAGCCTTTCAGTCGCTTTTACCAGACTCCCCTTCATATTTTTGGAAAGAAACTGGCCGCGTCGCTTTTACCAGACTCCACTTTATGTTTTTTTCCCCGCCCTCTCCCCTTCATTTTTTCTTCGGTTCCTTTCTTGCTTACCTACCTTTCGTGTTCCCCCTCTCAAGTATACTTGATTTTGAAATCGGAAAAATAATTTTTATTATTAAGGGTTTTAATTTAGTATTTGGGGGAAGCTTCAAAATCCAATTTTTTGGCAATATTTTAATTGCGTTATATAAAAAAATTTAATTGATTTTGAAATCGGAAAAACTAGTTTTTAATATTAAGGGGTTTAATTTTGTATTAGGGTTCCCTAATACCAAATACCCCCTAATACTAAAAACTATCTGTCGTGTTTATTATTAGGGAGGGGGGACGTTTAGTATTAGGGAGAAGGGATTATAATTTTGGGGATCTGCTTGGAATTATATAATATATGAGTATATATATATGTATATGTATATATGTATATGTAAGGTGCATTTGGAAATATAGAAACTTGGAACCATTGGCATATACCAGAATAGAGGGTAAGATATGAAAATGTAAAGGCGCCCCTAAAAACAATGTCTTCTTTGAAAAGGGTTTGAATAGACATGCATATATATATATAGATATATACACATATCCCTTGTCTTACAGAAATCGGGAGCTAAAATAGAACACAAAACAAATGTTTGGTGGGAAAACATTGCATTGCGTGCATCCACTGGTGTAGGAGCTAAATGAAATCCCATTGGCAATTGAGCTACCCATAAAATGTGGGGAAATGGTTGGAAATAATTGACATATATACATATATATATACATGTTTTTTCTCAACTCCTGGAATCCAAAAAAGGGGAAAATTGGCTAGTTTTGGTGTTGATGACATGTTTTTTTTCTCAACTCCTGGAATCCAAAAAATGAAGAAAATTGAGTAGTTTTGGTGTTGACGGAATGAAACTCAGAACCACTACCCTCCAAATATAGCAAAATCATGTAATATACATATGTACATATATACATATTATATATACACATGCTGGAATCCAAAAATGGTGAAAATTGACTAGTTTTGGTGTTGACATGTTTGTTTTCTCAAACTTTTGGTGTTGACATGTTTTTCTCAAACTCGTGCAAGTCCAAAAATGGGGAAAATTGACTAGTTTTGGTGTTGACGGACTGAAACTTAGAACCATGGTCCCAAAAAACAACAAAATTCTTGACGGGTGATTCTAAGTTGCTCCCAAAACTCCACGAAATTGGTCAGGTTCTATCTTTTGGGCTTCGAATTTTGGAAAACTGCGGGACATTCTAAGTTTCGGTCCGTCAATATACATGTTGATCATGTATTGTGTATGAAAATGCATATGTTATAGATTTGAACATGCATGTCTATCCATGCATCTACAGATTGACTGACGTCGCAGGAAGGTGCAAGAGTCGGTCGACACACTTCCAGCACTTTGGTGCCGTCATCACTGGGAATGCGATAAACCAAACAATCATCCATGCCCCAATGGTCTTTATTGACCTTCGATTTTTTTTGTTGGGCTACTCACTTTAGTAGAATGGGAAGTTGGGAGACCAGGAAGCAGTGACTCACCATGTCATGTCAGCAACCTTCCCTCCCCAGAGGATCCCCGGTGAAAGCATCCATTGTTTTTTGAGGAATGTTTATTTGCTGAATCTCTTGGCGCGTTCTGCTTCAATATCCCTACTGTAGTATTGGTGGGTGTTTCCATTGGCCAAAGACATCAACCAATTCCGTTCTGTATCTGGGTTTGTCTCAAAACTTTCCCCTGTGGCTTTTATCGCATTGGGAATTTCTATGGATTGCGATGGTTTTCCACCATTTTCCCACCATTTCCCACCATTTTCCATCAGTTCTTCTGGCTTTCAAAGTCATCCGTGAGGTCGTGAGGCGTGAAGGGGATTGATTTTGGACTTGGGGAATTTTGAGGTGAAACTTTGGGTTCTTGAAAATTTGCAGGAAAAACCGATGGATTTTGTGGTAAAGGTTTGGATTTCCGGTATTTTCCCTAGACCAATTCATTGATATTCATTGAATATGGGAATTGGAGAAACAAATCTTATAGAAACAGCTCAGAGACCCAGAAGAAGTTGCACCCTTTGCATCCGAGATATCTTTCTAAGCTTTCCTGAAATCAACGGCTTGATTCCAACAACATGCACAACGAAGCTACTACAATTTTTGAAAAGGTTTGCTTTTTGCAAACAGCAAGTATGAAAGTGTTGCCTTCCTTTGCAACGTATCCCCGTCGTCAAAGATACACACCTTCATGAATGTATGGTATACAAGAATGCGCTGGCCAAGTGTGACAGCCTGTTTCACCACTACCTCGCTCTTGAGCACAAAAGTCTCGGTAGTCTCCAACGCGGCAGAAGACACTTGGTGACACTGAATGTTCCACCTATTTAAGATCTAACATTTCAGTATCTTTCAGACCTTTCACAGCCTTTCACATCCTTTTCACTATTGATGCAAGCAGGAGGCATGAAAGCTGCACCAGACATCATTTCCTTCTTGCAGAGGAAGAAGGAAACTCCAGCTGAAATCAAGAAGCTTAGTTTGGAATCAACCATTGAGATTCTTATTCATGCACCTTTTTCTGAGGGCTGCATCTGCTTTAGTGACTTCAATGTTTGTGGAGCAACTGTTGATTGATCCGCAGCAGATTGCTTGGCAAAGCAGTATTGAGAACGATCATGTTTGACTTGACTGAAGATTGCAAGAAAACGTTGATGAGGTCTTTCAGCTTCTAATAATGCTGCAGGACATGTGGTGTGAATAGTGGTGGAATGTGATCATATCGAAGCATCAAAGTTGGACTTCATGGTAGAGACTCCAGCTTCGATGAGTCCGATGTTCTGCGCTGCTTGAAGCTGGAGCCTGGAGACCTAGAAATTCCACACTGAAAATCACAGTTGGTATCAGAGTGATATGATTTTGGATTTTTGGATTGGCTCAAGCCATTCCAAACACCTCAAAATGGCCCAAGGTGGGCATATGCCCATTTTCAGTTGGCAGTTTCGAATCCACCGGGTCAAGTGAGGAGACAAGGATGTCACCAACAAATCACCTGTATCAAAAGGGGAAGTCTTTAACAGCTAGCAGATCATGTCATGTGGCTGAGAACTCTGTTGGTGAAACTTTGGGATACGACGCGTCGACATGCCAAAACGACCGTCGACATGCCAAAAGGGTTGTCCCCGTCGACATGCCAAACAAGATTGTCTCCGTCGACATGCAAGAAATGTTCCCGTCGACATGCCAAAGAAGATTGTCTCCGTTGACATGCCAAAAGAGTGTCCGTCGATGCCAAAATGATGGTGTCCGTCAACATGCCAAGAATTTGTGCCCGTCGACATGCCAAAACAACGTCCTATAGTGTCACAGCCCTTAAACCTTGAAACTTCCGCCACTCGCCTCGCGCGGGTTGTAAGTTACTTGTATTTTCACGAAGATTATATGTTGCATTCTTGCTCTACATCGGTTCTCGAAATTTTATCGGCATTAGTTCTGACAATATATCTGGCATTCTACCGGGCAATGTCTCGCTTGTGACTCCAAATTCTGCTCGCTTGTGACTCCAAAGTCATTTCGCCTGTGACTCCAAAATCATCATCATCATCATCATCATCATCATCATCACCATCATCACCATCACCATCACCATCACCATCACCATCACCATCACCATCACCATCACCATCACCATCATCACCATCACCATCATCATCATCATCATCATCATCATCATCATCATCATCATGCCAAAAACGACGTAACTGTGCCCGTCGACATGCCAAAGCGACGTGCCGCGATGTCATAATTTTATATTGCGGGGCGTTTTTTTTGCATGTCGACGCGTGGTATCCTGTGAAAGTTTGGCATGTCCTGCAAAAACACAGTTTCCCATGCTTCACTATGTCATTGGAAGAGGGTTATGTTGAGTAATTCCAGAGAGTTTTGCGTTTTTTCCTGATGCTGTTCAGTTTCGGGCCCGTCAGATGGCATTTCATGATTCAAAATGCAAGGGGCATCCATGTTTCACCAAAAAATCCCCCTGCCGAGGTTTGAATCAGGGACTGCTATGGCCATGCGTTTCAGTTGCTTGGTGTTCTTGCTGCTCTGGTGGGATGCTTCTACTGAAGATGTGATTCCCTGGTGCCTTCGTTCTGGTTCATCCTGCCATGGCAACAAGTGGACCATGAAAAATGTGGAGAACGTTTCTCACTACCTCCCGAATGCTTCTCTTCTTGCACACCCATTGCGGCTGGCAGACTGGGATATGGATGGTGATTTAGATGTTGTGGTGTTGATGGAAGATGGCCTGTGGCTGTACAAGATGATAGAAATTGGACAAAGTTTCTCTGGTCCATTTGAGTTAAACAGCTCAACATTAAATGTGAATGAAAACAGCTACTTAGAAGTGGCTGACTTCAATGGAGACGGTTACCCAGATGTCCTTATAGCAGAGCAGCTTCCGAGCCCCCCTGACCGACAAGATTGGTGCAAGGAAGAGGGGAAGATCCGATATTTTGAGCAATGGCCAAGCAGCCTAGGGATGGAGCTGAACGAAAGAACAGGATCTGAAAATCCATTCAATCACATTAAGATCCCATGTTCAGACCAATACACTAATCTTCAGCTTGTGGATTGGAATGCAGATGGAGCCCTTGATTTGTTTGTTTACAGCCCTCACACAATGGCTGCATTCCTTCCTTCCGGCGCTCCCAGCAGCATCAAAGTGCTATATTTTGAAAGTCAAGACGGGGACTTGGTGGAGGCAACGAACAGGCCAGACAAGTCAGGGTAGACCAAAACAGTTTGGCTAAAGGGCTTTCATTCTGACTGAAGTACTTTCCAAAGTTTCAATGAGCTCTTGGTTTTTTCAAATCATAATCGAAGGAAGTTTAGAAGTCAAACTTCCGACAACATGGACAAATGAAAAGCAGAGATGGAAGGAGTCAGAGAGAAGAGAAGAGTAGAAGAGAGAAGCGCAGAAGAGAGAAGATCAGAGAAGAGAAAGAGTCAGAAGAAAGAAGATGCAGGTGAGCGAAAAGGTAGGAAAGTCGCGAAACATTGTGTTTTTCCAATGATTTGTGGCTGCGGAGGGTCGAAAAGTAGGCTCGCTAAAACGGCGGGTGCGGAGCCATCTGGCCAGATGAGAGATGAAAAAGTGCACGCGGTTGTGGCGCGAAGCACAACTCGAAGTCAAAATGTACAAAACACACCAGGTACGGACCACTTTTGGAAGTTGAGATGTCGAAAAAGTGCAAGCTGTTGTGGCGCGAAGCACATTTTGAAGTCAAAATGTACAAAACACACCATTCTCGGACCACTTTTGGAAGTTGAGATGTCGAAAAAGTGCACGCTGTTGTGGCGCAGCGCATTTCAAAGTCAAAATGTACAAACACACCATGTACGGACCACTTTTGGACGTTCAGATTTCGTTTCGCGTGGCAGGCGCAAGGGATTGTGCACCTTGTCAAAAGTGAGCAAACGTGAGGGTTTTGTCCCATTTCCAGGAAACGATGGCAGGCGTGTGACAAGAAGATCTGCAAAGATGCATTTTCCGTGGCAGGCGCAGTACAAGAGACATCTTCATCGGAGCTGTTTGGAGGTGAGGGCGCTGATTTCCTGAGAGGGGTTGCGTTTTGGAGCATCAGATCTTCAGGTTTGCTGAGATGATTTTGCGTGACAGGTGCAGCACTTCGTATGACCTGGCCTCACTTTTTCGTGGCAGGCGCAGTACTTTTGACAGGTGGACTGGAAAAAATGCAAAACGCATTGGTACGAGGGCCTCAGCTCTGCACTCAACTTTCCATTTTGAAGGAAGTCTCGCAGAATTGCTTTGTTTTTGATGTTGCCAAGTTCAAAAATTGAAGAAGTCGCAGAATTGCTTCGTTTTGGGTGTTGTCAAACTCAAAAAAGGATAGATGGATAGATGGATGGATGGATAGATGGATAGATAGATGGATAGGTAGGTAGGTAGGTAGGTAGATAGATAGATAGATAGATAAAAGGTAGATAGGTAGGTAGGTAGGTAGGTAGGTAGGTAGTAGTCAGAGAAAAAGAAAGAAAGAGAGAGAGAGAGAGAGAGAGAAAAAAAAGAGGAGACTTCAACCACCTTTAGATCCATCAGTGGCTTCGCTCTGCGATCCCTGATTCACAACAACCAACCTCTCCTATAGGTTTCCTATTTGTGAAACTTCCGCCACCGCCTTGTGCGGTACTACTGGTATCCAGTAAAGAACATTGACTTTGAAAGCAACATGGAGGTTGAAAGCACGCAGACTTGTGCTAGAGTTCATGCGGGAAAACACCACAGTTTGGTGGTCAATGCTGTTGAATACTCTTTGAGCAGGTACTTCAAGGATTTGGATTTCAGCATTGCCAAAGAGGGTTATGTGAAGGAAGTTCGACTGGCTGATTGGGATGGAGATGGGGACCAGGCAGGGTCGTGGTGACCCGAAGAATTCTAAGGGAGAGGATCGTATGTAAAAGTTTTTTGCGATACATAATTAGATTGTTTATGTCAGTGTTCAACGGTTTTATATGTTGGAACATTGCCCCCCACACCAGGATATGCTTCTTTTATGCAAACAATGCAAGCACTCTTCATGTAAAATTATTCTAAGTTACATCGAGCAACTTGCGGATGGCAGCTTAGTGCTCATGCCAGATGGTTGGCAACATATTTCTTTACAGCATGATGCTCGGCTCTTGCAGATGGTTGACTGGAACAGGGACAACATCTCTGATTTGGTGGTTTCAGATCGAATCTTTCAAAGGAACCCATCAGCAGCAGCAAGCTTCACTCGCCGTAAAGGTGCTCAGAACCCTTTTGGAGGCCTTGCTTTTTCATCTGGCGAACCACACCTGGTTGATTGGGACGGTGATGGTGACCTCGATTTGCTGGTGGTTGAAAGATACAATGTGACCCATCCGAAGATTCGCATTTTTGAACTTCTCGACACTGGGGAGCTTGTGGAAATGACCATCAAATATGACCATATACCCCTGGTGACGTCCTATGGTCCGAGTGGCCTACAATTCTTCGATTGGAACAACGATGGCGATGTAGACTTGGCAGTCTCCACCTCAGTCAAAACGTGGCTTTTCACATGCAACTCACACGGTGTGATGTAATTTCCAACCATTTTTCAGCGTTCCCAGCTGGATCGCTTTGAGGTCTTAACTCCAAATGGTGTTCTCGATTTCTTTGACAACCACAACGGGGTTCTGAGTGAGCGGCCACATCTTTCCATGCGAATCTCAGGAGTTCCGGACACTGCCATGCTCTCAATATCAACCATTTTCCACATGGGGGATTGGGATGGTGATGGCGATTTCGATGTGATACTAGGCCCTGTGACGAGTCGCTTCCATGCTTATTCAGAAACTGATTCATATACAACGGGATATTACCTGGAACAGGTGAACGGGACTCTGATCTATCGGCCAGACCATCCTCTGGTTACAGCTTTTGCATCTGTTGGGAAGGAGCGGGACTTATCCTGGAAGATTTTGGATTGTGACGGTGATGGAAACCTTGACATCATCAGATTCCAAATGCGACCAACTTTCCCCCTTCGTTTCGTTCCGACTGATATTGATATTCCGGAGTCTGATTCGCTGGAGGTGAATTTTCTTACAGGTCCATTTGTCGGATCATGTTCCCAGCAGAAAGGGAAACTCAAGTGCGACAACTCCTGTTTTAAAGGTCCTGCTGCATATACTCGTTTGGAAGTTGGAGAGCATGGCCATCTTACAGCGGGTGATTGGGATGGAGATGGTGATTTGGACATCCTTGGAATCGCAGCTGGTCACAACAGCCCATTGATCTTTTTTGATCAAAACTATTGTTTGCCTCCCACACCTTGCAGCGGAATAGGAAGATGCATGGCATCCGGGAGGTGTGCTTGTGGCAAAGAACGGGACTTGGAAGATTGTTCAGGTTGCAGTGCCTCGCACTACACAGTTTCAAAGACACCAGGCCTCAGCCTGGTCCATCGTTGTGCCCCTTGTCCCATGAACAACAACCAAGTATGTGCTGGTAGAGGGGTGTGCGTTGATGACATCTATGCCAGGGCTGTTGGTAATTCCTGGGACCTTGGGAACGGATCCTGCGTTTGCGCTGCAGCATCTTTCCATGGGACTGACCAGTTTTTTAGACAAACTTGTGCTGAAGGCACTTGCCCGGGTGGTTTTCAGGAGGTACACATGCCAGCTGAGCGTTTGAAACACCCTAAGATCAAGACTTGCTTGGCATGTCAGGTTTGCAATCCTGGGACGTCTGCTCCTGCTGGTGGGCGGTGTGAAAGCTGTCATCCGGGCAACTTTTCGACCGAGGGGAGTGATTTTTGCCGTCCATGTCCTGCAGGCACAGAGTCACAAACTGTGGGTGCCATTGAGTGCAATTCGTGTCCAGCTGGTACTTTTGCACCGCTCGGAAGTGCAGTGTGTCAGATCTGCCCGGAAGGTGCCATCTCAGGCAGTGGCAGTGCAACATGTGAACCTTGCAATTCTCAGAGTATTTTCTGGGTACATACCGACAGTGAGAATTTGAGTTGCATCCGACCTTCCGAACAATATTTGATACTGCTACTTTTCTTTGCATCTTCATCGGTTTGCTGCTTCTTTGTGGCCACGGCTTTAGCATATCGAATTGCCGTTTCCGACATTTCTACACAGAACGACGGTGCAGTGGTAACAACCCATGGGGCTCACCGGGTGTTGCAAGCTTCTAGTGTAACTTGTTGTAATATGTCCATTTGTTGGCCGGGTTTTCCTTTTGCTTGTTGCTTTGGGGAGCAAAACAGCTGATTGTTCCACTTTTTTCATGGCCCACCTTTATCTTTTGCACAAACTGTTCGCATCAGATCTTCCGGCTCCGAGGTCACATTGGTCCAGGCCAAAGCCACCCATGTTCCTGATTTGTCGACTCCTTGCTCTGCTGAGTTCATCAGTGATGAACGCCTCAAGCTCTACAGAGATTTGGAAGTTCCTCGATTTTTAAGGGAAGGGCGGGAAGGGTAGACGGTTGACGTCAAAGTATTTGAAGCACTGCCGTATAGGACTCTTTGCTGGATCCAAGTTGCAATCTCACACCCATGAAAGTATTGAGGTCGGTGATGCCATCAAATCTGCTGAGTCGTCTGTGGGTTGGTTGGTCCTTGGTGTGGGCACAGCATTGCGGCAAACTGGCTACCTCCAGGTGGCATGCTTCAAATTACTGTGGCGTTGAAGGGTTTCAAGATTAGGCCACATGTCTTGCCACCATCTGGGTGTGTGCAACTTGATTGTTTCGAACATGTTTTATTCTTCACTTCAGAATGATACTGTGAATGGCTGTGGTGGCCAAAAAGCCCTACGAATTCGAATCCTTTTGTATCAACTGACTTGGGTCTCAACTGCCTTTTCACAGGTGCCGCTCATGATCTGGATTACCGCTTCCCTCGTGTCAGCCATCCTTTCTGCAGCTACTGGTTTGTTGACTTCCGCAACGATCGGACTGGCGTTTCTTTCCCAGATGTGTTGGCAACATGTTTGCATGTTTTGTATTGTTTTGTTGTTTGCAACTGTGACTACATGCTGCAGATACCCGACATTCCGGGCTGGGCAAGTGGATTCCGACCAAAATTTAGCGATGATGAGTCATGCATTCAAACCTGACACTTTTAGAAGCCACATTACTTGCACCACTGGTCGTAAAAGTGCCTCTAGCTCAACAATCACAGAAGTTATGTCATTATGTCGGCCTCTTCTTTTTTTCAGTGACTTGATTGCAGTGAGGCTATTCTTTGCGGTTGTCTCTGTGGCAACCCAGCAGCTATGGCATCAGTATGTTGGCGCGCAAACGCCCATTTCCAAAAGCCGGCTGGTGTTTCTGAAGAAGATCCAAACCGCCGAAAAGTTAGTGGACCGTGGAGCAGCACGTGGCGTTGGCTACCCTGAGCTTCTTTCATTTTACGAGTTCTTTCAAAGTTTTATCAAGCACCGCTCCATGTACTACGTCTCATCGAACCTGGTGGTGCCCCTGACGGAGAAAAACAAAGTCTCCTTTTCCGAGTTAGTTGGGCCAAAGCTTTTGACCTGGTTTGTAAGCCATTTCTGGGGAATGGCCGTGCCACACTTCATGGAGTCCATTCAACACCATGCAATGCAAGTTGCAGATCAAGATCGGTTGTCCTATTGGGTGTGCACTTTCAGCATTCGCCAACATGGCGAAAGCGTGGTGCAAGAAGAAGTGGGGCATGGAGTTATTGAACAAAGCTCATTCTATTATGCTATGTGGGATGCAAATTGTTGCGGAACAGCATTGGTCTTAGATTCCAAAGTGCGAACCTTGCGAAGAATTTGGTGTTTGTTTGAAGTCTTCCAAACATTCCGCCACGAAAAGGAACAAAGTGAGTGTGCAAAAACTGCAGAGAGTGCTCTCTGCAAACCTTTTGAAGGCCTTTTGCTTTGCACTTCCACCGGTGTCCTTTCAAAGGGCGCTGGTGGGACAGATGTGTGCATGGCCATAGCTAAGAAGCTAGCGAGCATAGACTTGCAAGCAGCTGAATCTAGTAAAGACCAAGACAAGACTTTGATTTTTGATCTCATTGAAAGGTCTGGCGGCTTTGCTCCAATGAATGCCTGTGTACAGAAATCCATCCGCCAAGCGTTGCTCAAGGTGCACAGCCGCTTTGAGCGCGATTTTTCAGAGCTAGTGGACACCTTAAACACAAGCGCCCCATCTGCTTCAAGCGGTGGCGCTCGTTCTTCAAATGGCTGTAGTCGCATTCTTTCAATTTAACGTGTTTTCCGGATAAATGTAACGATCTCACGGATTTGAACTTTGAATTTGATGAGAGGTCATTTTTCTCAAACCAGGGCCAAATTTTCCAGCCATGTTGACTGTTTACAATGAACTTCTCTGAGTAAGCTTTTTCTTTAACGTTGCGTGGCAACAGCATGTGGAACAAACGGCTCACGAGAGCCATAGTTGACGCCAAAAGCGCGGACGCAGGAAAGATGTGTGAGAACCTTTTCCTTGAGCTGTGGTTGGCGCAATGCTGTTTGGCTTATCTGTAGCAAGAATCTTGCTCGTAACATTAAGGCTTGCAAAACAGGGTTTGGCCAATGCTCCTTGGTTACATTCGTTCGCCTGCCCGTACCAGGTATGTGGTAAATAATGAGGAAATTTGAGTCCGACCGAAAATAATTATTCATTCAGAGTTACAGACATTGAAAAGGCTGCAAAAGAACTTAAAAGAACAGAATAGAGAAGAGAAGAACTGAGAGAAGAGAGATGGATAATGGAAGAGAAAAGCTTAGGCCAGAATAGTGTGGGATAGAGCAAAATAGAATAGAATGTGAAGAGCCTAGAGAAGAGAAGTGAATAGAGAAGAGAAGAGAACGGAAAAGAGAACACATTATTGCGAGTGTGGCATAGTGTGGCCGCAAAAACATGTTTTTGTCGAATGAATGAGCATTTCATGCTTGAAATTCAGTTCCTTGGTAGATGGCCATGTGAGTGTATCCCCCAACTCGCTGGATGTCACTTGAAAACAGTTGGTGAGAAGATCACGCGAACCATTGCACCTGATCAAACATGCCTCGTCTTGTTGGTGAAATTCCGCAGGACGGATTAAGATTGAAAGTCAGGTGGTTCAATTGATTACCATGAGTGGTGATAGTCCAGCATGAAACGAGGGGCAACATTGCGATCATTTGGATTTTCAGAGGTGGGCAGAATTCGACATGGTAATTTGTGCACTGAAGGACCGCACAGGACCAGCTCTCCCAGCATTGTCGCAGGAGTCATTATTTTACCATTGTTTTTGGTCCCCTGGAGATAGCCATTTATGGAATCCTCCCTTTCAGACACGGCCAAATCGCTGGAATTTCTGTATCTCTTCCCTGCTGGCTCAGTCGCTTGATACCATTTGGTACATCTGGAGCAGATCATGCGAAGCATTGCAGCTGATCCACCACTTTTAACGTGTTTGGACAACTCTTTTGTTCGGATGATCTTGTTGTTAGTGGGCTTCAGGTGAAGGATAGAAACACAGTCAAAGGGCTCAATTTATACCCGATCAATCCCGATCACCACAAGTGAGAATGATCCACCAGGAAACGAGGAACAACATGTCATTGGGGTTTTCGGAAGATACCTAGGACAAACCGTGCCAGCATTGTGCGTTGCCATGCAGCTGCGAAGACACTTATGGAGACGGTGACAGGTGCAACATAGGAAAATGGACATTCCAGTGTGCCAGTTCAAGATGGAACAATGTGCAACACTACAATAAGATGGAACCAAACAGTTGGTTGCTATCCCCATTATTTGGGGTTGAATTGATATGAAACACATCTTGCTTTTCGGGAACCATGATTGGTAGACAATGTCTCCATTCCTTGTTGGTTCAGCCGCCATGAGTGGTGGGTACTATCATTTTTGTTGTTGGATAGTTAATCTGCATGGTTGTTGGGTAATAAATGGGCTAACGCCCTGGTGCCGCCGACCCCCTTTTCAGGGCGGAGCGGCGGGGAAAGGTCAAAACGGCCCACATGTGCAGTAGTCCAAACGTGGAAATATTATAGAGTTTTTGAAGGTCTAGGTAGCGTAAACATAGATTGTGGGACAATGAATCGAATGTATTGATATCAGGGATTTCCGTGGCTGTTCATGGAATGTTGTTTTCATATTTCGGGGATGGTGTGTCTTGCCTCCCTTGCGTGAGACGTAGTCTTCGCAAGGAAAAGGCGCACCAAAAGTATGCATGAAAACAACATTCAATAAACAGACACGGAAATCCATGATATCGTTCCTTTCTCCTTTCACTGTCCCTGGCTTTCTCCTTTCCCTTTGGCCTTGCCCTCTCCTCGCATTCTCCTTTCCCATTCCCCTTCCCCTTCTTCTTTTCCCATTTCCCCTTTCTCCTTTCTCCTTGCCCTTTCTCATTCTCATTCCCTTCCCCCTTTCCCCTTTCCTTTCCTTTTCACTTTTACTTCTCTCATTCCCCTTGTTCTTTCTCTTTCCCCTTTCACTTTCTCCTTTCCCATTTCTTTTTTGTCCGTTCTCCGTTCTCCTTTCCCTTCTCCTTTCCCCTGTCTCCTTTCCCTTTCTCCTTTCTCCTTTCCTTCTCCTTTTGCATTCGCTTTCTTTTTCCCTTCCCTCTTCTCCTCTTTCTTCTCTTTCCCCGTCTTCTCTTCTCCTCTTCGCCTTTGTCCTCTTCTCCTTTCCCTTTCCTTTTCTCCTGTCTTTTTTCCCTTTCCCTTCTCCTTTCTCTTTTCTTTCCCTTCTTCTTTCCCTCTCTGTCCTTTTCCCTTTCTCTTTTCCCTTTCTCCGTTCCCTTTCTCCTTTCCCTTCGTCCTTTGCTGTTCTCCCTTTTCCTTTCCCTTCCTCCTTTTCTTTTCTCCTTTCTCCTTTCTCCTTTCCCTCCTCCTTTCTCTTTCCCTGTACACATGGATTGCAAGCGTAACCTATAGATGGCACAACCCGAAGGTATGGTTTCCCACGAAAATGCGTGACCCCAGGTAGAACCGCTTTTTTCGGTAATGGCGATGGCTTTCTGTTTCTTTTGATTCTCACCGAAAATTTAGCAGTGGTAACATCCAATAGATACGCACTGGAGACCTATAAACTGCACACTCCATCTTGTTGGGTTTAGTGCAGGTGGAACCCTCGGACAAAATTTATTAAAATATATCAATACAAATTTTAATACAATATTTGATGGTTGATGATCACTGAAGATAGTCAGTACTAGTACTATTCATAGTGAGTAAGGCCCCAAATCACATTAATATCAGTGGGAGTAGAGCTGCAGCTGGGCTCGACACTGTGGTAGTTCAGTCCCAAGTTCGTGCATAGATATATAATGATATATATATATATGTATATATTGAGTACCTATAGTTGGCGGACACATCACCTTGGATCGTTCGCGCCATGGAGCTGACAGATGAGCAGCTGCAGCAGATCAATGTCCTCGTTTTCTGACGACCGATGGCCAGGGTGAATCCCGAACTTAGATGCTCTGTAGCTGGGGTTCCATAGTCATGGAGGTACCTCCATAGCTGGATGGTTTTATTTCATGGAAAAATCCAAAGAACCATGAGGTTTCCATATCAAGGGGTATTTTACATGATGTTATTCCAGGTGTTGGAGGTACTTGGAGGGTCCAGGTTTTCTCGGGTCAACGTCGATTTTTTTCAGTTGATGAGCATCTCAAGTAGACCATCCTTTTCATTTTCCGGATGTGATATACAGGATAATTACCAGGATTTTCATCCGTACCCACATGGTTTGAAAGGAACAAAGCATGGGGATGCATCATTTGAAGGAGCCATGCATTTAGTCTAGACAAGAACTTTGTTGAACTATTATGTATTATTTATATGCATACTGTATCATGGTAATAATTGGCAATATATATATATAGTATACTATATAGATTGTATGTAGACACCTTTATGGTTTCTAGTCGCAATTCAGCATGCCATCTGCGCTTCGACACGTTTTTGGGGCCTGTGGGATCTTGATGACATTGAGGATCTGCATGTCCAATAGAAACAGTTTGTAGGGCCTATGGGGAGGTACGATGGCAAAGCAAGCGGAGGGTTGTGCGGTGCTGAGGCTTTCGAAAGCTGCTTGCGGGGCTTTTGAGGGTTTTAAGGCCTGGCCAAAACGTGCCATGTAGCGAAGCCCAATAGAAACAGTTTGAAGGGCCTATGGGGAGGTACGATGGCAAAGCAAGCGGAGGGTTGTGCGGTGCTGAGGCTTTCGAAAGCTGCTGCGGGGCTTTGAGGGTTTTAAGGCCTGGCCAAAACGTGCCATGTAGCAGTTTCGAAGCCCAATAGAAACAGTTTGTAGGGCCTATGGGGAGGTACGATGGCAAAGCAAGCGGAGGGTTGTGCGGTGCTGAGGCTTTCGAAAGCTGCTGCGAAACTTTTGAGGGTTTTAAGGCCTGGCCAAAACGTGCCATGTAGCAGTTTCGAAGCCCAATAGAAACAGTTTGGAGGGCTTATGGGGAGAAACAGTTTGAAGGGCCTATGGGGAGGTACGATGGCAAAGCAAGCGGAGGGTTGTGCGGTGCTGAGGCTTTCGAAAGCTGCTGCGGGACTTTTGAGGCTTTTAAGGCCTGGCCAAAACGTGCCATGTAGCAGTTTCGAAGCCCAATAGAAACAGTTTGTACCTCCGATGGGGAGGTACGAAAGCTGCTGCGGGGCTTTTGAAGGTTTTAAGGCCTGGCCAAAACGTGCCATGTAGCAGTTTCGAAGCCCAATAGAAACAGTTTGAAGGGCCTATGGGGAGGTACGATGGCAAAGCAAGCGGAGGGTTGTGCAGTGCTGAGGCTTGTAGCAGTTTCGAAGCCCAATAGAAACAGTTTGAAGGGCCTATGGGGAGGTACGATGGCAAAGCAAGCGGAGGGTTGTGCGGTGCTGAGGCTTTCGAAAGCTGCTGCGGGGCTTTTGAGAGTTTTAAGGCCTGGCCAAAACGTGCCATGCAGCAGTTTCGAAGCCCAATAGAAACAGTTTGTATCTCCGATGGGGAGGTGCGATGGCAAAGCAAGCGGACGGTTGTGCGATGGCAAGTGGTGCCGGTTTGGAGGGTTTTGGAATTGCGGAAAGCATATAACTTTTAAGGCCTGCCCAAAACGTGCCATGTAGCAGTTTCGAAGCCCAAGAGAAACAGTTTTGGCAAAGCAAACGGAGGGTCGAAAGCTGCTGCGGGGCTTTTGAGGCTTTTAAGGCCTAGCCAAAACGTGCCATGTAGCAGTTTCGAAGCCCAATAGAAACAGTTTGTAGGGCCTATGGGGAGGTACGATGGCAAAGCAAGCGGATGGTTGTGCGGCGCGAAGGCTTTCGAAAGCTGCTGCGGAGCTTTTGAGAATTTGAAGGCCTGGCCAAAACGTGCCATGTAGCAGTTTCGAAGCCCAATAGAAACAGTTTGAAGGGCCTATGGGGAGGTACGATGGCAAAGCAAGCGGAGGGTTGTGCGGTGCTGAGGCTTTCGAAAGCTGCTGCGGGGCTTTTGAGGGTTTAAGGCCTGGCCAAAACGTGCCATGTAGCAGTTTCGAAGCCCAATAGAAACAGTGGCAAAGCAAGCGGAGGGTT